TGCCCTATTGCTTCTTTAGAAATCAAATGCATCCTTAGAAAACCCTGTCTGACTGTTTAGTCATTTCTCTATGATTCATTCATTTAGTCAAAAGATATTTATTAAGCTTCTGTGATTTGTACAGTGATGGGCGCTAGGGGTGTGAACCCTTATGCAACAGACGCGGTCTCTTCTGTGTCACAGACAGTGCAGAGCGGGAAGGGGGGGAACAAGCACCTGGTCCACACGAGAGTGCCCGTGACAGACCGTGACGGGGAAGAACAGCCTTCCCAGGAGGCACACAGCAGGGGTGCAGCACCGGAGGTGGGGACCCAGGGAGAGATCCGTGAGGAAGTGGTGTTAACAGCCAGGTCTGATGGAGGAGACGTAGATGAAAAGTAAGCAGAGGCCAGACCCCAAAAAGAAAGAAATGTGCACCCCAGGCCTGGATTTCACATCAATGGGAAGTTATTAAAGAACTTGAAGCCGCACACAAGTGGCATGTCAGCTTTCCAGTTGAGAAAGAATTGGAGAGGGAAAAGGGCAAAGACTCAAAGAGCTGACTCAGTCACCTAGTGAGGAACCATGGTGACAGCACTGGGTGACAGAATCAGTGTGGGCAGTGAGTGTCCATGAACATGGCAGAATGAAAGGGATACTTGGGAGACACAGAGTCCATGGGACTCGGTCACTGATAGCCTGGGGCAATGAAATCTAGATTCCAGCCGGGTTAGGGGACGGGGTGGGGGTGCCATTCACCAGGGAGGGGATTATAACCATCCTTCAAGGGTCATCGTGAAGAATGGAAACAATTGGCGGTAGAGAACCTACTGCGATGGTGTTCAGTAAGCCATTGGCTTGCTAGTACAGACTGCAGCCACGTCTGTGCTGTAGTCTGTGTATTACACCGCCTGTGTTTGCTTATTTATGTCAACCCCTGTGACAGCTGAATGCAGGTGAGGAGCCTGGACAAAACAGGACAGATGGACACGTAAAATAGTGTTTGCTTTCCATGCACTGTGGCCTGACGTGTTGACTCCGCTTTAATCCTAGTGCACCTGGTGGACATTTGGAATGTCATAGAAGCCTTGCGGGAGAACGCCCTGAACAACCTGGACCCCAACATAGAGCTCAACGTGGCCCGCTTGGAGGCCGTGCTCTCCACCATGTTTTACCAGCTCAACAAACGGATGCCCACCACGCACCAAATCCAGGTGGAGCAGTCCATCAGCCTCCTCCTCAACTTCCTGCTTGCAGCCTTCGATCCGTAAGCACTCTCTGAACCTCTGGTCCCCTCTGTGTGCCTCGTGTCCCTTCCCTCTCCTACTTCTCAGTCTTCTCCCCCAATAATTTCCTAGAGTAACAGTCCCATTTTTCTTCATCCGATGTTGATGTCACTGTAAAGCCTCCGTGTGTTGAATATAAATTTTAAATGCTGTGGGAAGGACTAGGGAGTAAGATAGTGCCAGAGGAATTTGAAGACAATTGAATTTTATGTGCTGACCTTTATTTAACTCATCCCATACTTCCTAGAAGCTATGGACGCTTGAGAGTGCTGCCTGTGGAGCAATTTAATGAAGTGTGAAGTGGGAGAATGTTTTTAACTTGCTTCTTTGCAAATTATTTAAGACAGTGTTTCTGAGATGTCCTAACAAGGCCCTAGAGCAAACAGGAAATAAATTGAAAAGGGTTTCTAGATCAGCCTAGTCAAAGTAACCATGACTTGTGTTAAATAGACTGGTGAATAAGACAATGGGATGCTGTCCACGGCCACAGTTGAAACTCAGCTTCATCATCGTATAATTTCCCCTCATAGAATCAGAGAATTTCAGAGCTGGCTGAGATCTTAAAACGTCATCCAGGTTTCTCATTTTACAGATGAAGGAACTGAAACACAAAGAGATTGTCACCTGTCCAGTGTCTTCGCAGCTTGTTAGGGGTCAAGTGGGGACTTAAGTATTCAGCTAAGGTGTCTTTTCCAAGGTGTATGTGGCAGACTCATGAAATGGAAAAAATCTCCGCTAAATTACATTATCAGCCTCAAATCTCAAAAGGGCTTTGCTAGTACCCTCTAGTCTGGACAGAGAATCACCCTCTCTTAATTTCACTACTTGTTTTGAATATTAAAAAGGAAAATTACTAACCTGGCCTTTCAGGAATCCTATTTTAGGATTCTCAGAAGATTTTGCTTAGTCTCGTGACCTGGCCAGGCCCTGGGAGTATTTGCCCCGACAGTGGAGATGTTCCAGTCAAGCTGATGTTATTGTGTAACTCACAAAAGTCACCAGCTGTCACTTTGCAACCTGGAGTGTTAACAGTATTATTCCCGTTCAGGTTTACGAGTCTACGTTGTCTCCATGGTGTTTATATTTGGACAAATTCTCAAGTTGAAATAAACAGTTTTAAAATGGACAGTCCAGATTGGTAAACTCCTTGCTTCGACTGTGAGACTTCAGAACTAGGGGCACTGCTCTGGCCCAGTTGCCATGGTAACCAGGCAGGGGGGCATGTGAGGGGGGCTGTTTCCACATGACAGGCGGCAGCATGGACTCAGGCTGTGGAGTTTCTGCAACAGCATTTCCATCCTGGCCCCTTCACAAGCTTCCAGACTTGCCAATAAAGACGTCAGCGGACTTGTTTGTTAGCAGTGTAACAATGGGAAATGTAAAAAGAGAAATGTAATTTTCCACGAAATCCTAGAATATTGCTAGAGGGTTCACAAGGAATCAAAGCTAAAGAATAATTTACACCCACTCCATCCTACAGTAATGGGACCAGATTAACAATAAGGAAGAGGGTGTTTTCCCAAACACGTGGGACTCTCACTAACAGGGCTAGATTTTTCATATTTGTTTATAAACATTGGTTAGGTTGTGTCTAAATATAGAGAAATCTGTGTTCTTTAAATAGCTATTGGTAAGGTAGCATGGACATAAAGTTCATGTGCAACTTAAATTAGTTTACTATTTAACAAGTAGTAAATTAGTTTACTATTTATATTAGTTTCCTAATTAATAGTAAGTGAGTTTACTATTTAAATGGCACATGAACTTTATGTCCATCCTTCGTAGCTGAGTCATTTCAAGACCAGTGAACACTATGTTTAAGGATCATCCTAAGATAAGAAACTATTCACAGAGAAGTTCAGAAGAAATGTTTATGCGGTGCCTGTTCTTCTTACATTCAGGAAGGCCCCTTATGTCTAGTTTCAATAATTTTACTGTAGTGGATTTATAAACACATCCACAAAGCAATCGCAGTCCTCAGCTGCGCTTTCTCTCCTTGGCCATAGTAGATAAGCATAGGCAATCCTACTGACACTCGAATTTTCCATCTGATGGCACGGAATTTTGGATACGTAAGCCGTCAGGAAGTACAACTCACTGGAAATGTAAGAATAAAATGAATGTTCTACTCTATTTCTTATTATAGTAAACTCCCATTGATCCAAATGAGATCCAGCAGGGAAAGCTGATGTCACTTCCTGCCACCTGTCCCGTGATAGAGCCCGGGTGTTGAAGAGTAGCTTCTGTGTTTTGGCAGACGCGAACGAGTCTGGGACGGGTAAAACAAAGATGTGCTGTCGCTATTATAGAATCGTTAAAACGTGGAGGGGGTTTTCTCCCACTTGCTGTCTTTTGAATGGACAGATTCATAAAAAGGGAACAATTCAAAATAAAAATCAGAGATGTCACAAGAACTTGGACTCTCTAAAGAGGTAAATATTAAAAAGAGGAGAGAAAATACTCAGTGGTCTTGAGGTGAAAAAAGAAAAGAGGAGACAGTGCAGAAATTTGAACTCATGAAGTATAAGAGTGCATTCAAAGGAACTTGGTCATTTTTCTAGGGAGCCCTAAAATGCAGCCAGTTAGACTCTGCCAAGAAAATAGTAATCTGAAGTGAAGATTAACGCTCAGCTTACTCTGGTGTATCCCTGGGGATCAGACTCACCTTCCCACAACCACAGTTCCCCCCAAAGACTAAAAGCACTGCCTTCCATCCATAAAAAATAAAATCTAGATCTCAATTCTCATACATGGATGCTTTTTATAGACCATCATCAGTTTGTTGGATACAAAGCTTTCTCTGCTCTTTGGCCAAGTCATCCTCTTAGAAGGTAAGTACATTGCTACCTACACAGGATGATTTGTAGAATATTAGGAGGTAGCAATGGCCTCTGCCCATGCTGGCTATTCTGTCATTGAAGAAATAGTCCTTCGAATCGAGAAGACTTTTGTTCTACTTGACTGTCCTTCTAAAAATGGCCATATTCCAGGGAGGAGGGAATCAATCACCCAGTGACTGATACCGACCAACTTCTTAGCAGATCTTTCCACGGCCACAGCTATCTTTTCTAAGGTGTCTAGGGAAGTGGAGGGGTGTGCCTAGGAAGGGTGGAAAAAGAGGTCTCCGAAGATGGGAGCAAGGGCTGAGAGGGAAAAAGGTACATCAGAAAATGTCCAGCACTTGGGCCGGACTCTACTTCCTCTGGTCCCTTTCCTGCGTACGCCCAGGCACGGGCCTACCGCCTTCCTTTCTTTGCCGTGACGCCTCCCATCCGAGGCTCTCCCCTCCAGAATCCACTCACAGCCCGGCAGCACCTTTTCTCTCACCTCTTGTTCATATTTCACTGGGGGGTAAAAATCTCTTTGAAGTGTTCTCAGGACCTTTACTGTGATTATTTTCGAGTAAATCAAAAATAACTCCAAAGAAGAGCAACATTGCAGAAACTTAGAAGATGAACATAATTCTCCAAGGTCTATAAGGGGCAGCCTTTTTGAGAGGTGAACGCACAAACTGATACCCTGTCAGCCCTTTGCCTCCCACAGCCGAGTAGACTGCCCTCCCCAGGTCTCACTATTGCCTCATGGCACCTGTCTGTGTATGTGACTGCCTCTCGCGAGTCACTTCAGGGGAGGACCGTGGCTTGTTCACTTCATATGCACAGGTCCTGTGAGACCAACACGAGCATGAATCAATCTACAAATATCAAAGGTCCATCTTTCTTAGCTCTTGTTGCACTAATTTCTTTGAATTCTTTCTCTAATCTCCAGCTGTATTACCCAAACTAGCGAGTCCCAGGCATCTCGATTCAGACCCTCTATCTCTATTTCTGCTCCACAGAGAAATAACCAGGTGGTCATAGTTGCCAATGTGGGTGATGCTTTTTTAAAAAAGACTTCAGTGTCCTTCTGTTACTTCCCAGCAACTTTAGTCTTTACCTAATCTCATTTCCATTCCTTAATGGTAGGACAGTTCTTCCTAAAGTCAATTAGGTGACAGTGGCCCAGTTTTAGCAAATATCACTTCCGTCTATATTCAATCACCCAGGAGTCATCGTGAAAAACAATAAGTGTTAAAAGGAAGAGCAATTTGCATGTCTTCAAGGGTCCCATGCTGTAGTCCCAATGCCAGCTTTCTAATGATACAAGCTATATCTCTAGTAATGCGACAATCGTAATAATAGCTGAGATGTACTGAGCTTTACTGTCTGCCAACGATCTTATTGATCTGGCGTCATGTTATCATTCTGCACATTGAGGAGATGACACAGCTGTGACACTGGAAGGCTAAGTAATTTGTAGGTCACAGACCTTCATATCTAAGGTGAATTGGAAAAAATCATTTTGTTCCAGCAGCAGACTCAGTCTAAGTTCAGCTCTATTCATGCTTTCTATTACAATTTCTTAAATGAGAATTAATGTACTGATTTTCCTCCCAGACTTATCCTGCATATTATAAGTTATTATGCGCATATTTCTAATCTTTCCAGTTTATGGTATTTAGACATGTTTGAAAGAATGTATGTGAAAGAGATATTAATACTTGGACTTAACAAGTTTTATTAGCACCACGCTCTAACCAACTGAGCTAACCGGCCAACTTAGCAAGTTTTACATGGTAGCATTAGAATTGATTCTTTACAGCTAACATAAGCAGCGAATCTATCGTCTTAACACAGAGACAAAGTCCGTGTTTTCCTCTGTATTTGACGTATGGCACCTTGCTGAGCCATGCGGACAACCACTCCCACTGCCGAGGGCCCTGACGTTGTGAAAGGCACCCCAGAACTATTTCAAATGCGCAGAGGCAAAATGATATTAGAATTCTGCCGACATCCTTCTGCCTTCTGCATTTTAAAAATGATTCTGATGTTTCACGCAAGATGCGCGATCCAGTACACAGTCGTTTCTCTGTGCACCAACAAAATGCGGTGTTTGTGTTTGAGACTCTGTGTATCTGGAAAGGAAAGAAAGAAAAAGTCCC